ACCCGCGGCTTTTTATGAAGGGGATTCTCACGACGACACTCTCTTATACTGCCTTCTTACTTAATATTAAAACTACTTACTGGATATTAAAACCAGTTTAATTTTTAATTTAGTACTAAATATAATACTCTGTTGTTTTAATTTTCATATTTATTTATTTATTTTAGTAGTCTTTGTATTAATTACATGTATCAGATATTTCAGCAAATGACATTTAATTAGTAAAAGTATTTTAAAAAAGATGACATATATTTATTATAAATAACAATTTAACTAATTATTCTAATCTACTCAAATTAATTATCTAGTTCTACTGTTAAGGACCAAAGGTAGTATTAAGGACTCATGTAGTATAAAATAATACTCCTCACTACTGAACACAGTTAGGCACAAGTTAAGGATGAGTTTTGATTACAATATTAATTAATTTGTTTTCTTTTATTTTAATGTTAAAAATAAATGTGTCTAACTTATAAACTCACTCATTTCTTTATTATAAGCTCAAATAACTAATTGGCAAATAAGGAACAATTAGTTAAAATTAGATAAAAGTAATAAATAGGTTAGAAATATACTTTTGTTTTCAAATACGTCCCTATAGCAAATGAGAAAACAGATGAAAGAAAATGTATAGGGAAATATGATAAGAGAGATTATAACAAAAAGAGAAAATAAATAATTAAGGATAAAATTAGAAGAAAGTGCGTCAAATGTTAGACAAATACTAAATTGAAGCTTATAAAATGAATCACACTTCTCCTCTTTAAGGCTTATGAATATCACCGGAGGGAGTAACATATAGTCTAATGTTGTACTATCTCCGGTCCTAATTATAAGAGCCAGTTGATTAATTTGAGGAGATTAAGGAAGTAAGTTGAGTTAGTTATTTGTCCTAAATATGTATTGTCTTTTCTAAAATATCCTTACCAATTAAGTGTATTGACTAGAACTATCATTGTTAGAAGAGTTACTTTGAAAAAAAATATATAAATATGAGAGACAAAGTGGATTGGGATCTTATATTTAAGACCAAAATAAAAGTCAAATAGGGTCTTATATTAAGGATCGGAGGTAATATAAGATTATTTTACGGAGATCAGGTGACGTGTATTGTAAAAAAAAACAAAATCTTTTATGTTATTTTTTATTCTTAATATAAGGCTTAATAACGACTCGGGCTCAAAAGACAGGACTATATGAATATAATTGGGCCAGGGACAAATTTAGGATCTTCTTCGATACATCACTACCTTGGACATCCCTATTTATTTGCTCACGTATTTATGCTAACCACTCGATTTTACCCGCACTTGGAGTTTCACAGTTACTTAGGTTTCAGACCTCTCCTTCGGCTGCGCTCCGTCACTCTGTCTCTCGCCTTTTTTCTTGCTCGCTGCCGTCATCCCACTCAGGTGTGTTCCCTCTGTTATCCTTTCTCCTTTCCTCTCCCTCCTCCGTGCCAAACCTCCTCTCTCCTTTACTCTCGATCTTCTTCTTCTTCTTCTTTTTTTGCGGGTTTTATTAAAGGCTGCAGCGACTTTCTGTTTCCGGTTCATTAATATTTTGTATCATTTACATGATCTTCATCGCACAACACTTAGGGGTTACTTGGAATTAATTAAGTAGCTTTTTAGTCGATTTACAGAGTTAGAGTACTTATTTCAAGTTAATCATGCAAGCAGATCCAAACATGCACTTATAACAACAAACCAAACATTACATCGTTCAAGGTGCATACGGTTCTCAATTTGCTGCTGCACTTATAAGAAGCTTCTTTTTCCGCCAACTTCTGCCCCATAAGGATCTCGCTAACACTGGCAATTTTCTCAGCCTCACTAATAGCAATCTTCTTCGAGTCTGCTACTTTCTGTTTTTCAATAACACATGTTGGAGACGTGGCGAGACATTTTGTTGAATTGCAGATTTGTCCTCGAACTAAACACTGTTAGAGATGAGCTCACTAAAGTCCAAATTGGCACTTTGAAATAGTTCGAAACTTCAGAGTTGGATTCAGCTGCTGTATAAATAATAAAATCTCTTCTATGTACTGTGAGTAAGTAATTTATTTATTATTTTTTTAAAAAAAATCGTTTCCTATTATATACATGGTATTCACATTAATCATGATCAACAGATTATGAGTATAGGAACTAATATTTATAATTCAAGAAAACCAATAAGGATTATCAAATTAATTTCTTAAAGAATAATAAAATCAACGTTCTCAAAATAATGGGTTGGGAAAAAAATTAATGGAAAATTTTTTTGTTCTTTTTATTTTTTATTTTTTATTTTTTTTTGGCCATCGGATTATAGATGGCGGGTTTAGATTGGTGGGGGGGGGGGGGGGAGAAATGCAGAGGATGGGCAGCGGAGCCGGAGGGAATAGGCAATAGGCATGGGAGAGAAGTTGAGCACCCAAGTGTTCTTGGGCCACGTTTTTGGAGAATCTGGAGCCGAAGAGACATTTTGGGCTGTTGGTGCTCGGTTTTGACGTCAAAATCCATAGAAGTTTATTTGGGATGACCTTGGCCCGATCTTACTCTGCTTCGAACAGTGTCCTTGGAGCTGCCCAAACCCTCCACAATATTGGCAAGCAAGCTCTGCATGCCCATTGAAGAAGGACAAGACACAACATGGAAGGGCCACTTTAACCCGAAGTCCATCACGATAGAATGAACTAGGATCATCGTAAGCTAAGGATCCATTTGGAATGACAATTATAAGCACCTATAAGCACAGTTTTGTAAATTGAAACAAAATTTGTCTTTCACATTCACATCTTGTTTTGTAAATCATAATTAAAAAATTATTTATAAGTTATTTTAAATAGGTCTTAAGAAGGTTTCCACAGGCAAGTTACCAAGCATTTTTGCTGCAGGTTCGGTTTAACAGCCTAACGGCAGTCCGCTAATATTGTACCCGAGACATGAACGTATTCGAAAGAGACCTTGGCTATTTGCATATATTTTGAGTAATTTTGCATGTTCAAATTCAATTTAAATCAATTAAAACGTTCTTTTATTACTTTCAATACAAAATTAATTATATATTTTTATTTTAATATGGAAAAAGTTGAAAACAAAATTAAAACTCCATTAGGAACACACGCCTTACCCACTCCCTTGGATTCCTTCCAAGTCCGCATCGACTCGTTAGAATTGTGCCAGTGCCATCTTAGCGTTGTAATACGTCTCGGATTTATAATTGGAACGCCAATAAAAAGGGTCAGCAAGAAGAAATTCTCATCACGCTACACTAACTTGGTGCTTATTTGGAATGATAGTATGATTACGTAAAATCAGCTTTTTAATAATTATTATACAATACGAGATAAACACATAAAAAAAATTATTTTGAATTATGTGAATAAATACTTTTAGAATATCTATTCCTTGCTCCAAACAAGCACTTAGATGTTTTATTACTGAGGATCAATGTAAAGTCTTGCGTTAGGAATTCTTCAAAAAAAAAAAAACTAAAATAAGCTAAAATGTAATAAAATAGCAGCCTATCCAATTCACAAGGAATCCTTTTTATATCTTAATTCCTAGCTAATCTTACAGACCACAAATTAACAAATTAATCACATTCAAGAGAAAGAGTAAATGTTTGGTTGATTTTCTGTTTACACTAAAATCTATTATTTATGGTTTTGCTTTTCTAGATGAAAGATGAAGTGAACTGATAGAAGAAAAAGTGATTTCTGAATTTATAATGTAAATGTTCCCTTAAAGATAACCCCCTCCTTTCCAGTTCACATAAAATTTAGAATTAACAACCGAAACAAAAGATAAAGCTGACAACTCGCTAGCTCTCTGGTCAATTAAAACTCACAAATCGTGCAGAATTAATAGCAAGCATAAAACTATTCAGCTAGGAGAAGAAATTTGACAAGCCAACCCTTTTACCAACAACCACTACAATGCATTGTTATGAAATTTATTGAACTAATCATGGAAGGTGAACCAACTCGGTCAACAATCACGATGTAAAACAATAATGAAACCAGGAAAAGTAGTCTGAACACGATCCTACAAATGACTCGTCGACTAAGCATGTATCTGGATTGGCATTTAGCTGAGAAAATACACCTTGAAATCTGTGCAACGCTCGTCTGAAGTTGGTTTAAAAACTGTGGGATACTTGGTCGATCTTTAACCAAACCAACTTTTTTTTGGGGAGGGGGGGGGGGGGGAATCAAATGCGGTGGGAAGCTAAATTTTTAGCTTTTGCCGTTTGTACGAAGAGAATAATAACGAAGAGGGGGAAAAAATATTTAAATGGGTCTCATCTTGACTTAATAATTTGATTTTTTTTCAAGAAGAAAAAATTAACTAATAAAGTTTAATTAATTTAATTAATTATTTTTTGAAAATTTATTAAATTGTATATGTATGATATATTACCAATTAATTTAATTTATTATTTTTTGAAAATTTATTAAATCGTATATGTATGATATATTACCTTCACTCCTTAATATAAAATCCTAATAAACTAATTTGAACAAATTAAAAAAACTAAATAAATTATTTGAATATACTCCCTCCGTTCCTTATTATAAGAGACATTTGATGTTTATGACATGTTCCTATATATAAGAGACACTTAAAAGTTGTCTCTATTTTTTTGTATTGATTTCCTATTTTACTCCTATTTATTTTGTTTCCAACTCATACTTTCTTTTCCTCCCACTTCTCTTTCTTTTAATAATTTAATTATTCTCTCATACTCTCTCTCCTTATTAATAGGGGCATTGTTGAAAAAAACATTATACTTTTTACATTAATTGTCCTCAACTAATTTTAACTGTTTTTTTTATTAACGTAATTTAGTTATTTGTCTCTTATAATAAGGAACGGAGGGAGTATTATATGTTAAATGATTTCTTTAGAATACTATATATATCCTTAATATTTTTAAATAAGTTAACTGAGTATTATATAAAAACTCATACCTTTTTTAGTCACTTTACATCTAAATTTACTTTTTCATTATCTATCTAAATAAGTTTTAACTTGTCAAACTGATTTTTTTTATGAACATCAATTCAAATACAAATTACATTACACTATGCACTTTTACTCCAACCCATGTTTGCAAGGGTAAGACAGAATAAAAATTAATTTTACTACTACTAATCCAAACACATCCTAACTAATCCTAAATCAACTCAATAATTTCAGAATGTAACATCAATCAATGCAAATGCTGAAACCATAAGCTAGAATGTACAACTTGTTTTCACACTGGAATATAGCTTCGGACTAAAATCACTCCCTCAGTGAAGAACAAGAACTCAGGCTCGATCCCATGCCTAAGAGCAACAATGGATATCAACCACGCATACTCTGCATCCGTATGAAGTTTCGCGCAACGAGTGCGATGAGCATGGAAGAGGAACGAGGAAGAACGGTGGAATGAAGATGGGAGATGAAGTGACGGAGATCGTGAAGTGGAGAGAAAAATGATGAAGATGGGTCCGTTTGGATTAACAATTGGAAAAGTAATTTATTGTCAATTTGACGGCTTTTTGAGCCAAATGCTATAAACAGTCATTTTAATTACCAGGATACTACACTATGAAAATTAAGAAAATTGTTAAATTATTTAATTATAACATACATTAGGTGATGGCTTTAGCATATATTACATGTATTTTTAGTAATATCTTTAATATTTTTAAATTAGTTAGCTGGGTTTTATAGTAAGAATTATATGTGTTAATTAATTTATTTAATTTTAATTTTTAAATATGTCATTTTACATATAAATTAAAATTATAATAATTTGTGATGTGTGTGCGTGTGTATACAGGAGAATGAGGGAAAAAGTGAAGGGGGAAGGAAAATGTTTGAGGGGAGTGGGATGAGGTGCAGAAAGGGAGGGTCAAGCCATAGGGAGTAGGCTGCAGGCATTTTTACCAAAAAAATTATTTAAAAAAAATGAAGCTGCAGAACTCGTTCTTTGAAAGAACGAGTTCTGTGTATTTTTAAAATCGCACTTGCCTTGAACGATTTTGAATGTAGTATGCTGGTAAATAATTTTCATAGTGTAGTATTCTAGTAATTAAAATTACTGTTTGTAGCATTTGGCTCAAAAAGCCTCAATTTGACTTTTAAAAAAGTTAGATTAGATAAAAGTTAAATTCAATGATATGAATTGTATTTGGATTGAATTTTATAAAAGTTAGTATGGGTAAAAAGTTGTTTGGGTTATGATCGAATAAAAATAAGTTTAGTTTGTAAAATTACCAAAATGGATATGAGTTTTAATAAATAATAAAACATGATAAAAAAATGAATTTATATAATACAATGAATTTAAATTATTTTAAGATGAAGAAGTAAATTTTAGTGACTAAAATATATTTTAAAACATTAGAAATATCATAAAAAATTATTGGGATTACAAAGTGAAACATAATTTTAATAGATAAAATATTCTTAAATTTAAATTCATTGTATTGTGATAAGGTCCGGCAAAGATCGTTATGGCCAATCCAACGAAAGTACTCCTCCCAAAAACCTGCAGGAAAAGTTGAAACAGTGTAATACCTTAGAGGGGAATTAATTTTAGAGTTCAAGAAAATTCTCAGGTAGTTCAAGCAAATGGTCAATAATGTATACGTCTCGAGCACCCTTTTCATCAGAACTCGTCTAGCACGTGTACACGCATATGCATGTTTATTAATGATTGGTGTGATAAGATGACTACGTATCCATAAATGGCCAAAATGTATAATTTTATTGGAAATTTTGATAAAATACATAAGAAACTTTACCTACATATTATCTTAAATACATCTTCGATAAATGACAAACACCTGCCTTTATAGCTCTTTGCTTCTCAAGCTCTACAAGAAAAGCTGCCCTTCCTGCTTTTGCCGTGTCTACTGAACCTGCCCCTCCACTCTCTATATCCTTCGACTTAACTGCAGATTCTCAAAGTAAAAAGGATAAATGTAGCATTTTGTGACTGAAATGACACCAAAAGAGTGTAAATTTCACATGATCAGACCTTCTTACCTCCACTTATTTCTTTTCCGGAGGAAATGTTAATTAATCTGGCGAAAGAACAAAATTTGGAGGCAAAATCAACAACATATTGCTGACAGTAGACGAGAAAGAAGACACAAGAATAATAACATTTACAAATACTATTGAACACTTCAGCACAGGTAAAACAGCTGGATGCTACCGTCCATTGAGGATAATAACTGGCAGAATCATAAACTAGAGCTAAATCAGCACTCAAAAAGCTACGATAGCTGCACAGGTTGGGGTTCCAATCTCCTGTCCCTTCTCCTTCTTCCCTTACCCAGAATTGATCTCAGCATACATTGGATCCCCCGCCAAGCCAACAAGAAAACCTAATGAACTGCCTATGCTTGCAAAAACATGAGCCCCTAAAAGTAGTACAAAAAGATGGGTAGTTAACATTACCAGATCAACTGATATGATGGTGTTTCTGAACTCAATTTCTTAATTGAAAACGGAGAGGAATAAGATATTATTTTATTTTGGTGGATTACTTCTACCATTAATTGAAATGGAGGCAAGCTTGGCTTACCCTTCCATTGTTTTATTAAGAAGTTTAGGTTATTTAGAGTTTACATAATAGCAAAGACAACTCAGCACGTCCTTTCTCATTTTGGTATTACAGTCAGGAACGTACTTTAGTTTTGCCCAAATCTATATTCCCTCCCTGGGAGATCCTATAAGTATACTACCACATTCGGCTTGATGCTACCACATGTTCTCAACTAAATAAATGCACCCAAGCTCAAGCATTTCTTGTGATATCATCTTTTACAACCTAACAAAGTAAAACAGAGGATGAAAGAAGGCAAAATAATAGAAGCAAGTTTAGAGGATTAAAAACAAGTAGATATACTGAATCAGTTAGTGGCATTAATGATATAATTTTAACACCTATACTTAGTGGCATCCATATACAGAGGTAAATAAAGACATACATGGCTCCATCTTTGCCTTCATCTGACAAATTGTTGAGCTTGGCTTCATCATCCGAAATGTTAGATGAATGCACAGCTAAACCAAGACAAACTGCAATAAAAAAGCAACCAACTCCTGGGAAAAGAATCTGAGCTCTATTGATCCCATCATCCAAGAAGTAATTCACATTTGTGCCTGTTACAGTAGACAGAGAAAGTGCGGGGAAATTCAGTACTTGAGCAAGCTGCATATATTTAGGGGTTCAGAAACTTTCGTTGAATGCATAGCTCGTGCATACATATTCTTACATGCATATTTATTCATGGAAGGGTTGCCTCAAAACTTATTGGCCTGGTAGAAAGGGCTCAAATTTAAGCCTTCTGGCACAAATGTTGCAAGTGGAAATTAGGCCCGTTATACCCATAAAACAAGCGATTCCTTTCATTTCTACCCTTTTTAAATGTTTCTTCTTTAGGGAGTATGGGGGCACAATACCTATGACAACAGTTATGCTTGCTGATACCACTTCTGCAACTGATAAACCAACCAAAGCCAAAGCATATTGCGTGGACAAATTCCCAATGCTAAGTACAACACCACTCACCATTGCAAACAGAACGGAGAGCCAGTTATCCTGTCACAGAACACCTTTGTAAATCATAACCCAATTGTGAGCAATAATATGCAATGTAGCGTCCAAGACAGTTCATAGTAAACTAAGTACGTAAGACTAGAAGAACCTTAATATCATTTTTAGGATATTGATAGGTTTAAGACGTTCATTATCAATAAACCATACAAGTTATATTTAGGTTTTAGACGTCATCATGTAAGCTTTTTCTTGATTACAAACACCAGGCCATTCATAACGATCTACGTAATCACAATCTACATGCAAGCATAATCATAACAATCACTCAATTGAGAATGTCAAAGTTATTTCATATGGACACTTGTTCCTAAATCAAAGCACTTGTAGTTCAATTCCTGATAGTGATTCTTTAGGATTAGCGTCATCCAATTGTGACGCATCTTGCCTTGAAACGAGAACAGCCTATCCAACTTCTGTAATTTTTCTACACGATGCTACTTTGAATATAATGAATATCCACCTGATAAAGCTGATCAATGAAATTTGGTTTATCAGGGGTGCTCTTGCCAATCTCACCAAAAGTGAGAGCAATGAGTACAGCGGCCAATATATTGGTGATTGTGTAGTCAAGGTAAGTGTGCTGAGGAAGACGACCTCTCCTTTCTAAAAGAGTAATAGTAGTGGGCCGTGTCCCCAAGAAGAAAAGGGGCAACAGCATACACAGTATGGCTCCATCCCTGCTCTCCACCAAGTACATTTTCAATCCAGAACTCAAATCCCTTTCCCATTGTGAAACAATAAAGAAGAAATATTCAGAGATATCCTGAAAGAAAATTTCATCAAAACCCACTAACAACCAAATACGAAAATGACAAGCTATTAACAGAATCCACAAAGACAAAGCTTTTTAATTTTATTCCTATTTTTTCTTTCTTTGTTTTTTTCCCCCAACCAGACGATGATGAATGTAAGAGATGGAATGAGGAAGAACGGTGGAACGAAGATGGAAGACGAAGTGACGGAGATCGCAAGGTGGAGAGAAAAAATGATGAGGATAGTCGGGGAAAGAAAATAAGATGGCGGCGATAAGGAGAGTGATCAATTGGAAAATACGGAGCAGGCGGAGTCGATCTTCACGGATGATCAAACCGCAGTGGCCCGAGTTCATTTCTTCCTTTGCCCAAATTACCCTTTGATTTCTTCCTCAATCTTGTTTAGTTCTTAGCCTAAAATGAAATTGGAAAATTCATTAACAATTTCAATAATAAAGTTCTGAAAAATATAAGCATATTGAAATTATTTATTCAAAAATTTCAGAAATTATTTTTCTACCCAATTCCACCCAAAATCTTCAATGAAAGCATAATAATAATGATAAAAACTCATAAAATGATATCAACCAACCTATTAATTTATTAGGTGGTGGTAAGTACTATTATAAGCAGCAGCAATTTTCTATTTTGGGCTCATTAATACTACCTCTAATCAATAATACAAAAATTAGATAATTAATATGTAATTATTGAAAAAATTAATTAAATTATTTATTTGTAATAAATAGGATGTAATTTTTTTAAAATACTCTTGTCAATTATGCACATTAAAATAAAAGCCTTCTAACATGGACAATCACCATGAGAATTTCTATAACAAAATGAATAAATATCATAAACAAAATAAACTGAAATTTTATTTTTAAAACCAAATTATATCTTGAACTAGCTCTTATATTTAGGATCAAAAGTAATATATTGTAACATTTAGTACCAAAGGTAGTTGAAGGGGAATGATTTAAACCCCTTTAAATCTAAACAAGGCAGTGACTGACCATCAATACCATTAATGAAAAATATATGGATCATAGAAATACTTGGTTTTGAAGATAAAAACTTTAATATCATATATAATAGAGCAAGAAAGTGTGGGTACTCTTTTTTTTTTTTTGGTGGTAAAAAAGAAAGTGGGGTTACTTTAGCAATGAAGCAATGAGGATCCCAATAACCTCAAATTTACAAGATTACAGATGTCTTTCATATCGGATAACAAATGTCAGTGCCATTCTCATTTACTAAACTTTTTTGTTTATTAGAATATTTCTGATTTCTTTTTTCCTTGGAATTGCATTATTCTAACAATTCAGTTGAAATTATATAATTCTTCCTCACCCCTGCCTTTATCTCATGACGCGTAAAAGTCATATTAGTGAAAATACCCCTATTAAGCTTGATTTTGCATGAAAATTCTAGAAAGCATGATGATGTTATGAAATCCAACTAAATCACAAAGCTAATGCCATATTATTAAAATCGCAATTTGGCTTATAAAAGCCGACCCCTTTAGTTATCATCCTGCTGGCTGGTTTCTGATTATGCCCGGTTTGACTTTTACTATCCTGCTTGCTGGCTTCTGATTTTGCCCGGCTTGACTTTTCAATCTCAGCATCAACGTGGGGACTATGTTGCTTTCTTGATTTCTTCATAATATCTTTTTTTTAAAAAAAAAATTGTTGTTCAGGAAAGTTTTTTAACTAAGATTCAATTTATAATTGTTATACTAGTTATCATAATAATCAGTAAAAGTTATTTTTAATTTCAATTTTTTATTATTTTATATGAATATCTTAATAATACCTTGTGGAACGAATTTTTGTGTGCGTATGTGTGTAAATCGTTCTCACTCAAAAAGCATTCCTCTCCATTAGGTATAATTGACTTTCAAACATTAATGCTTTTTCACAGGTTGTGATACAACAAAAATAATACGCAATGTAGCACCCATGGAACGATTTATATTTCATAATGTAGCATTTGGAATTTTTATTTAAAACTGTTCATATCATATCAGTAAAAAGAAAAGCCTAATATATTCATTCACGGACTCCGATCTACTTTAAGATGATCAGGGGGATTTTTTGGTAAGCTAATTGATGTGGCTACTGGGGTCTCAGAAACCAAGATAGCAGTATAATACTTGTACAATTCAATTCTATGTTCATCAAATTGAATATCAATTTTATGTGTTATATAATAATTATTGGGCTTCAGTATATAAGGACCACACACCAAACCAAAGAAGCCCAACCTAAATAAGAAATTTTGAAACCGGAAACAACCATAACCCAAAGCACAAATCAGAATCCAGGAGCAACTTGGACGTTGTAATATGAGTGCTTAATCTATATAACCTATTTAATTTATTTGATTAGATTAAAAAAATAAAGTAAATTAGTAAATTATAAGAAACATGATATGCTTTTTTTTAAATACCATAATCATCTTCTTTAATATCTTCCTTCCTTCTCTTATTTGATTATGGTTGAGGGAGTATTGATAGAAATAATTTAGAAAAAATTAATAAATATAAGAAATAAGTCTTACATTTAAAATAAATTAACTCAATAATTAGGTTTTATATTAAATATTAAAAAAGTACATCTAATGAGGAGGACAAGATGGCCACTTGCATCCTTTGCACCAAGAAAAGTGCAAAGCATAAACCATCGCAAGGTTCCATGGATACATTTGGTACGAGGAAAATAAAAGGGATGAAAAATTTTAATTAACTCGATTTAAAAATTGAAGAAGTAGAACTTTTAATTAAATTCTATTATTTTTTTTATCTTACATATTCTCTTTATTAAAATTTTAAAACCTTACTTTTCTAATTTTTCAAATTGAGCTTAATAAAATTTTATCTCTCCTACCATTCTTTCCTCCATTTCTCTTACCAAATATAAGGTAAAGGCAAAGGTATCTCAAGGGAAACTGGAAAAGCTTCCAGCAGATTGAAACTTGACACTAGAGCCGGTAAGAAACTCCCATGGATCTCATAACTGCAATATCCAGGCTTGCACGCATAACAAACAAAATAAAACACACAAGCTGAACACCACAACACACCGACCAGAAGGAAAAAACGACCAAAACTCGATAACTTGACTAGCCTAACTTGTGAATCGATTCCCCCAAAACTGTAACAATATGATAATTTTAATGCTACAGCATCATTGGAGTAGAATAAACATAATGGAAAGCAGGTAAGCAACACGAAGAGGGTTCCTGATCTTATATGTCACAACCATTTACATCAAGCTATTCTTTTTAGTGGTTTCTTTCATCTCTCTTTGACGGTGCGATCCTGGTGCTTTTTGACTATTCAAACTAGAAGAAAAATCAATGAAATCATAGAAAATAAAATTACCACTTTGTTTACTTTTTATCCCCAGACCATTTCGTTCAATAAGATTATGACAATAATACTTTTTTTTGGGGGGGGGGGGGAACCATGCCTCACCTGACTCTGCTAGAGCGGAGGCTTTTGGGGCAATGAACCTTGACTTTCTTTGGAGGGGATTCTCGCGACACTCTCTTTTCTACTAGCTGCAGTAATTAATATCAAAAGGGATTTAATTTTTAATTTAATGTTAAATATAATATATAATATATTTTATTTTTAATATTTATTTATTTTTTTAAATTAATCTTTGTAGTAATTACATATATCAAATATTTCATCAAATGACGTTTAATTAGTAAGGGTATTTTAGAAAAGACAACACATATTTATTATAAATAAGTAAGGGTATTTTAAAAAAGACAACACATATTTATTACAAATAACTAATTTAATCAATTTTTTTAATCTACTTAAATTACTTAGCTAACTCTGTTATTAAGGGCCGGAGGTAATATTAATGACCCATGCGGTATAAAATAATACTCCTCTCTATTAAACATAGTTAGCTAGATACGAGTTAAGGGTGAGTTTTGATTACAATATTAATTTATTTTCTTTTATTTTACTTTTAAGAATTAATTTGTATAACTTATAAATTACTTCCTCATGTCCTTATTATAAAATTCAAATAACTAATTTGCAAATAATGAATAATTAGTTAAAATTAGTTAAAAACAATAAATAAATTAGAAATATACTTTTGTTTTCAAATACATCCTTATAATAAATGAGAAAAAAAGATGAAAAAAGATGTGTAGGAAAATATGATAAGAGAGATTATGACAAAAGGAGAGAATAAATAATTAAGAATAAAATTAAAAAAAAGTGCATTAAATGTTAACATAAATACTAAATTGAAACTTATAAAAAGAACCATACCCTTCCTCCAATTTGAAGCTTATAAATACAACTGGATGGAGTAATATATAGTCTAATGTATATAAGATTATTTTACGGAGATGAGGTAACATGTATTGTAAGAAAGAAATTTATTTAATTTTTTCAATTTATCCAAATTAAATAAGTAGTTATTCCATCAATACGGGTAGATTATATATGAAAATTTTTTCGTAAATTAAAATTATATGTTATCACATGTAAAGTTACGTTTTTTTTTTTTTTTGCCTGAACATGCAAAGTTACGTTTACATCTCAATGGATGAGTTTTTATAAAATTGTCGCGTCTTATCACCCCTGGCCTTGGATATAAACATAATTATTTTTTTTAATGTTAGTTTTTAGGGATAATTAATTTGGAAGTCCTTATAGTTTTATTCAATTTTGAATTAAGTTATTGAGTTTCTTTTTCTTTTTATTGGGTCCTTTAAGTTTGTTCTGTTAAATTGAAAACTACACTGTTAAAACTTCTGTTAAAAAGCACCGCAAGCGTTTTCTCCATCTAAAACAACTCGTTCTATCTCCTTCCCTGATAACCTTTTCCCTCCTCTCTTTGCATTTGCCTACCTTATTAAGTTGATCCCTTCTCACACCCCAACACATACACATTAATTATTACCTCGC